ATATAATGTCTGCCATTGGCCTTATAAAAGTGCTCATCTGTTTTCCTTTAATTTCAAGTAGATTAAAAGTGAGATTTGGTGTTAATTAAAAACTTAGAATTTATGGGGATTTTAATTGCAAACAACATTTCAGTGGTGAGCTCATAGATGACTTATTTCTGTTTGGTAATAAACATGGTATCGAACAATGACAAGACAAAAAAATTATTTGAAGAAAAGAACATCTTCATTGGCTCTATTGTCCGTGCATAGAGTGAATCCTTATACCCGAGGGCATATGAGTGGAGAAACTCCACAGCTCTGGATCTCCTTGGGCAGTATTAAACTTTTACATTGATGTCTAGAAATTTCACTTTTTGAAAATGTGGGTAGGTTTGGGAAGATAGCAATGAAAATAGAAAAAGTCATTATCATGATTAATCAGTTTAATAGAAATGCTTCAACATCATATTCTGCAAATGTGATTTCAGCTATCTGTAAGTTGAATTTAGGGTGTATAGGGTAACTGATTACCAAGAGGTCCCTAAGGGTTTCACATTTTATTATTTATTATCTCAACCAGAGCCTGTTGCAAAAAACAGGGCCATCTTCTGTGGGAACCTGTAGCACAGATATTTTCCAATTAGTATCTTTGCATGTTCTCCTCTGGCATGAGTCGGGTTTAGCCTTGTCACACTGGGCTTTTAAGGGGAGCTCTATCTTTGCAGCCCAGGCTACATGTGACAAGATTAAATTGGCACACTTTACTGTATAGCTCTGTGTTCCTGGCAGCGCTAGCCTGGCTGATACCTCTGAGAGCAGGCTCAGCTGTCACTCAGTGACCCATTAACACTACCGTTCCGTCCTGCAGTGTCATTTTTCTCATTCTTAGGGAGGTAATGCTCCCAGGAGATAGGCAATACCTGCAGGAATGAAAGAGAACAGCAGAGACAGGGGAAGTATCAAAGAGGGAGCAAACAACACAGCAAGACCATGAATTCCAAAAGTCGACTTTTAAATTGAGTGAAAAGATGAGGCCCATTATGATGTCTCTGGTTGGAAGGCGGGGAGAGGATCAAGTTTTAAGAGGTATCATAACTTTTTAACAAGCTATTTTCTCCTTGCTGCCTGAATATCAAAAGAAGTGCCCAAAATAACACTTGGAACTAGATATAGAAAAGGCAGCTGCTTTGAACATGTAATATGCAAATCTGGGTAAGAATTTATCATTTACAAATAGGCAATGGATATAAAACAGAGCATATATTAAAGGGAATTGCTTAATATTCTAAATAGAACAGGATTCCTGGTTAGGGTTGGCTTATTGGAATACAAAATTACCTTCCTAGTAAAAGCACAAAAGAGGAAAATGACATGTGATCTTTGTAGCCCTTGGACTAAGGCGCCTGCCTTATGACTGAACTATTACCAGTGACCCAAACAAACTCTATTGCTCTCTTGCAGTCCAAACTGTATACTGTTTGGTGGGTCACTTTTTAAGAAGTTACATTTTCTAAGGGTTTATATACTAACTGTAATGCCTGCCTAAAGAGGCATTATAAGAACAGGCTTCTTGATTTCTGAACTGAGGCTGGTCCATTTTGATTGATATAAAAGCAGACAACCACCTGAATCTATGTACTTAAAGATTAAGTACAGGGAAAGACAAAACAAACAAACAAAAAATGGTGAATTAGACAGGAAATAGGGGTAAAACCAGTAGACAGGATTCAGAATTATAATTTAATAGAAAGAGTAAGGAAAGGTGGAATATCACAAGATTTTTAACATAATGCATCTTAAACCGGCTCCCAATATTCCCATGCCAGGCAAAACTTATTAGTGAGTTTAGACTGTTATTCTCAGGCCGGGGATTCTGTACGTCCTGCTCCCCTCGCCCCCTGGCGACAAAAGTCTAGAAACCATGGGATAAATGCAGCATATTCTTCTTCTTTTGGACCACCAACTTTTCTTTTTTTTTTTGTTTAAGGTTTATTTTATTTTTATTTTATTTATTTTATTTTCATAAACTTAACTAAACCAAAAATAATCTACAGCTGTGGTCCGCAACCTCAGGGCCACAGACTAATACCGGTCTGTGGTCTGTTAGTAACAGGCTGCCCAGCACGAGGTGAGCCACAGGTGATCAAGGGAAGTTTCATCTGTATTTACAGCCACTCCCCATCACTGGCATCACCGCCTGAGCTCCACCTGGCATTGGATTCCCATAGGAGTGGGAACCCCACTGTAAACTGCATGGCACAGATCCAGGTTCAACGCTGCCAGTTGTGAGAATCTAATGCCTGATGAGCTGAGGTGGAGCTGAGGCGGTGATGCTAGCGCTGGGGAGCGGCTGCAAATACAGATTATCATTAGCAGAGATATTTGACTGCACAGAGACCATAATAAATCAATTGCTTGCAGATTAATATCAAACCCCTATCAGTGAGCGGCAAGTGACAATGTAATAATAATAGAAATAAAGTGCACAATAAACGTAATGCTCTTGAATCATCCTGAAACCATTGTCCCCTTCCCTATCCATGGAAAAATCAACTTCCATGAAACACGAACCCGGTGCCAAAAAGGTTGGGGACTGCTGATGTACACCTTTATTTTTACATTAAATATGCATACAGTAAATATGTTTACATTAACTATGTATGTTGCAGAGCAGGATAAAATATTCATGCCTATTTTAAAGATCAAAAACAAGACATTCAAGAAATAGTGGTAGGAAGGAACATCTTGGTATTAACCTTCCCTCTTGGGACTCTTGTGTGCCTTAAGTATCAAGTTTGTTCCTCTCTCCTATTTGATACCCTCAGGGGCGAGTTGGAGAGGCGCTGCTGATGAGTTTAGCAGGGACAAGCGACTCAATGTCGTGGCTTAGCAAGGACAGCGCTGTGGAGCAGGATCGGGGTACCATCCTGAGCCTTCAGTTTACAGTTGGAAGGTACCATAGAGTCCTGGGGGCGGGCGGCGGCCCACGTGGCCGAGTCCCCATTGTGGCGCCACCTGCGTTGGCGCCCGCGCGAGCCAGGGACCCGCGGGGCCTCTGCGCGGCCGGTCGTTGGGAGCCGCCGCTGCCCTCTGCGCTGCTCCACGAGGAAGATGCTGGCTGCCTTCCTCTCCCGCGTTTTGTCAGGAGTGGTCCAGAAGCCAGCTCGCCGAGTGCTGGTGGCCTCTTGTAACTATTCCAATGATGCTACATTTGAAATTAAGAAATGCGATCTCTACCGGCTGGAGGAGGGCCCGCCTGTCACCGCCGTGCTCACCAGGCAGGACGCGCTCAGGTACTACAGGATGATGCTGGTCGTGCGCCGCATGGAACTGAAAGCGGACCAGCTGTACAAACAGAAGTTTATTCGTGGTTTCTGTCACCTGTGTGACGGCCAGGAAGCTTGCTGCGTGGGCCTGGAGGCCGGGATCAACCCCTCGGACCACGTCATCACGTCCTATCGCGCCCATGGCATCAGCTACACGCGCGGACTTTCCGTCCGATCCATTCTGGCGGAGCTGACGGGGCGCCGGGGAGGCTGTGCCAAGGGGAAAGGCGGGTCGATGCATATGTACACCAAGAACTTCTACGGGGGCAATGGCATCGTTGGCGCGCAGGGCCCCCTGGGAGCTGGCGTTGCTCTGGCCTGCAGATACAAGGGAAGCGACGAGATCTGCTTGACCGTGTATGGGGACGGCGCCGCCAATCAGGGCCAGATAGCCGAAGCCTTCAATATGGCAGCCTTGTGGAAGCTGCCTTGTGTCTTCGTCTGCGAGAATAACCTCTATGGGATGGGGACGTCCGTGGAGAGAGCGGCAGCCAGCACCGATTACTACAAGAGGGGCGGTTTCATCCCTGGCCTAAGGGTAGATGGCATGGATGTTCTGTGCGTTCGGGAGGCCACGAAGTTCGCAGCTGACCACTGCAGATCTGGAAAGGGACCCATCGTGATGGAGCTGCAAACCTACCGCTACCACGGACACAGCATGAGTGACCCTGGCGTCAGTTACCGCAAACGAGAAGAAATCCAGGAGGTGAGGAGTAAGAGTGACCCTATTATGCTCCTCACAGATAGAATGGTAAACAGCAAGCTGGCCAGTGCTGAGGAATTAAAGGAAATTGAAGCCGAAGTGAGGAAAGAAATAGATGATGCGGCCCAGTTTGCGACAGCGGATCCTGAACCAAATTTGGGGGAATTAGGCCATCACATCTACAGCAGCGATCCCCCTTTTGAAGTTCGAGGTGCAAATCCGTGGATCAAGTTTAAGTCCATCAGTTAAAAAGGAAACTACATGTAAATTAATTATCAGTCCCTCAGTGGAACATGCATGATCTACTTTAAGAAACTATGTTCTCAACTTTGTCAAGGAGGGATAAAACTCCTAAAACAAAACCTTGCAAATTTTCATTAAAAGAGATTGAGATTATTCAAAGAGATTAAAAGATGTACTTTCAATTAGAAGTATATTTACTTGTCTTCTACATTGTTGTGTTAAAACATACTGTAATCGTTTAGTGTGGATATCTTAAAAGATTATTTTAAATTTATACAAGTCCGAAATAGGAAAAACAGATGATTTAACTTCCCAAATTATTTGCCATAATAGTTTTATTTGATTTAGTTTCATGTGATTTTAATAAATATTGAAAGGAAAAATAGTCATTTGATTTTTGCTTCCCTGCCATGGGTTTGTGTGTAAAATCACTATCCTGAGATAGAGATGATTTTAAGCCACTCAGAACCCCTGCTGCTATGCAAGTTTACTTGAATTAACCAATAACTAAAATAGCTTAATATAATAGCATGCACAGGCACACACAGGCAGACAGATGCAATATTAGTGCTGATGCTTGTTAACACTGACCATTTAACACGTGATATTTAACAGAGCAGGAAGAGAGAAAACAAGGATTTTTTTTCCTATTATTGTACTTCGTTAAAATGTTAAAATTTTGTTAGTGAACTAATTTAAAGGGAAAACATAAAAAAAAAATTTAAATCTAGGGGGAAAACTGCATTTTGCTTTAACCTTCAAGCTAAAATGACTCTTCTTACTCTACAATCCATTTATGCCATCATGTGTTCTAGAATTTAAAGAGCCACCCTAGTGTATTTCAGACTGAAAAATGAATGAACAGAGATGGTGACATCAAAGGAGTTAAACGGAGAAGGTGACATTAATAAAAAGTTGAAAGTAAAATCTGCTTTACTTCTAATTAGTTATTAACTATATATTAGTAATCATTGTGTGATTAACTTTAATATTTTTCAATGTAATTGAGCATTCACAGATAATTTTTTCCAGAGGAAAATAAACTTGGATCATACAGGTTCTGTCTTCTTTATAGTCCAATACCATGTGAATTAGCTAGTCATGACTTGGTGAAAACAGTTTTACTTGGATATATTTGACTAATGATCTAAAATCCTATGGAGTTTGATATTCAGCATACTTTACTCCTCTAAGATAGACTTCACTGAAACTATTATAGAAATGATAATTTGCCTGCAATTTGAGAAATAGTTTGTGGAACACACCAAAAGAATCAGTGAACAGTTAACATTTTTATTTACTGTACAGAATCTACTTCTGTGCAGATTGAACCTAGAGTCTAAGAACTTTAACAGAAAGCCAAAACTCAAGAGTCCTGTGGGTGGACAAACATATGTACACAAAGGCTTCATCTCCATATCTTCCCCCAAACAGATTTAAACAAGTAAGATAAGCTAATGTTCTAAATTCACAAAGCAGAGATAAAACTTGTTCTATTTCTAAATCAGTGATATTATTAACTAATATGTTTTCATTAGAATACTGCAGCTGCAGTTCAGAGGTACTGCAATTAGATCCCTACCATTAAAAGCGAACAAAAAAAAATTCTACAGAAGACATTCAGAATAATAAGCACATTCTTCTAATGATAAGGAATTCTTTTTACCATACTATTTTTATAATATTTGCAAGGGGAAGATCAGTTGCTCAATTAAAGCCATTTAACACATACAGTGCACAGAAATCAGTTTAATTGTTTGTTTATAAATGGATTCTTTTGATGCCATCAAAAATTAAGATACAAATATTTGATTAGAAATGAAACCATCACTAAATCAGGATACACAGATAATATACTTCCTTCAGAAAGGAATCCAAATCTAACAATGTTAGAGTGATAAAGTATGTTTGTGTCATTATACATTATCAAAGTCCATTAAAGAAGGAAGTTTTCAATGTTTTCTGTACTAAAAAGTGATCAGAACTCTGTGTGTACATTCAGTAACTATAATCATAGCACTGGTTGTACATCATTTTGTAATCATGCAAAAAAAACCCGCAAAAAACCAAACCTATTGTTTTTAATTATAGGTCAAGACTTACTGCTTGACTAATAATGGCAATAATTTATCAAGCTGTAAATGAGAGGTGTAGAAATCCAGCAGTTGAATTCTATTTCCTGTCTGTAATACTAGGCTACTAATTTAGTATTACCTAATCTGTTTTTTCCACATTTTAGGAAACCTAATAAACCATGATAGTCATAATAAGGATTCCACTGCTACAATGATGCTAGGATATCCGAGGGAAGGAGGAGTTCCTAATGTCTTAACCTTTATGATATTCTATCAAGATAAAGGACTGTGTACATATGTGTGGAATGGAATAAAAAAAGAAAGAAGGATAAGAAAGGTATATGAAGGAAACATTCAGATACATTAGAATTACATTTATTTAAAATAAATGGATATGTCTGCCCATCTAGTGTACAAAAGAGAGCACATTGTTAGTGAAATTTAACCTGACAATTTGTGAGGGTTAGTTTTAAAAAATTGAAATATAATGTACATACCACAAAATTCACACTTCTGAAAGTATACAATTCAATGGCTTTAGTATATACACAAGACTATGCAACCGTCACCACTGTCTAATTCTAGAACATTTTCATCACCTTAAAGAGAAAAATAATACCCATTTTCAGTCATTTCCATTTCCCCCAGAAACTACTAATCTACTTTCTGCCTCTGGCTTTGCCTATCATGGACATTTCACATAAATCATACAATACGTGGTTCTACGTGACTGGCTGCTTTCACTTAGCATAACGTTTTCAAGTTTCATCCATGCCATAGCATGTATCAGTACTTCCTTTTTTTTTTAATGTCTGAATACATTCCATTTTATTTATTCATTCATCAATTGACGGGCATTTGGAATTTTTCCTACTTTTTGAGTACTATGAATAAGAAAAGCTAGTGTTGCTGTGAAAAAACTCAATCACTTCCCTTAAATACAAATACAATAAAAATCTTAAAACTATTGGCCAAGGCAATGTGACACCATCCCTTATGATACAGTCTCTTTTTTTTTTTTTTTTTTGAGACAGAGTCTCACTGTGTTGCCCGGGCTAGAGTGCCGTGGCGTCATCCTAGCTCACAGCAACCTCAAACTCCTGGGCTCAAGCAATCCTTCTCCCTCAGCCTCCTGAGTAGCTGGGACTACAGGCATGCGCCACCATGCCCGGCTAATTTTTTCTATATATTTTTAGTTGTCCGATTAATTTCTTTCTATTTTTAGTAGAGACGGGGTCTCGCTCTTGCTCAGGCTGGTCTCGAACTCCTGAGCTCAGACAATCCACCCTCCTCGGCCTCCCAGAGTGCTAGGATGACGGACATGAGCCACCGCGCCTGGCATGATACAGTCTCTTCCAATTAAACAAATCAAGTTGAAGGAAAGTGTTAAAATACTTTAAGCCTGCATATTTATCAACTTACATAACCTATTGTTCCAACTGGATTTTGTTTTTTAGTATACCGTACTTTTAGAACAATTTTAGATTTGTACAAAAATTGAGAACAAGGGACAGATTGACCATAAGCACTCAGTTTCCCCTATTATTAACACTTTATATTAGGACATGGCAAGGAAAGGGTAAACTCAGCAGGCCTGGGTTACGCAAAACCTGCACATCCCTAAAAAAAGGCCACTTTCACCTTCCTGGGAGATAATCTCTGAATCCTTGGAATAGTCTGCCTGATAAGAACAGTTTTGTAATCCCGAGGCATTAGGCCGTGTTGTGCCAGTATGACCAGATAAGTTTATCTTAATAATGTGTCCCTGTGTTGCACCACCAAGAGGGTATACCTGGAAGCCTGTGCCTGGTTTCTTTGGAACTTCTTTCCATGTGTCTTTTCACTTTGCTGATTTTGATCCGTATCCTCTCACTGTAATAATAAACCACAACTGTAGGAAGAAAACCCATCAATATAGCTTCTTAATTATACAGAATAGAAAACTATATATTGAAGAGGTCCAGAGATATTAAATGGCTAATTCAGGTTCACACAGTAAGCAATAGTGATAGCTATTAATCATAGCTACTAGTCTATTTTACTAGACTGCTTTCGAGTACAAGACACTATGCTTAATATTTTTTATACAGTATGTCACTTGATGTTTGCAATAGCCACATAATACAGGCATTATAATCTTCCTTTTACAAAAGAGGAAATTGAGGCTCAAGTAAGTTGCTCAAGATATTACGATTAATAAATGGTGGAGGCACAATTCAAAGCCAGGCAACAAAGTCCATGTTTTGAAAATTAGTTTTTTGTGCAGCTTTCTCATCATTGACCCTCGTAATACTCAACCATGTGATAGATGAAAAAAGTACATTAATAAGTGAATGAATGGAATTAAACCAAGAGACTTTATCAATTACTATAAACTGAATTCAGAGTTCAGGCTTAGAGCAGAAAAACAAAATTGGGAGAGAAACAGACAAAGAAAATAGAAAGTAAAGCAGATTAAATGTAACCACAAAAATTGTGATACTCCTCCCATTAAGAAGTAGAATCTAAGTCCCCTGCCCTTGAATTTGGGTGGGCTTATGACTGCTCTGACCAATAGAAGATAGCGGAAAAGATGCTATGCAGTTTTAGGACCCAGAACATGAGAAATAGACAGCTTTTTGCTTCATATCTTTTGGGAACATTCTAGGAGCTGTGATTCTCCATTGTAGAAGTTTAAAAACACGGAGAACCCCCTGCTGGAGAGGGCATGGGCAGGCACTCTGGTCACCAGTACTACCTGACCTCTGCCTTCCAGCTAAACCTGCAAAGGCAACAGATATGTGAGTGGGGCCCTCTGGGCCCACTAGGCAGCCCATCTGCTAGCCGAGAGCCAACAAATGACCTCAGGCAACGTCAGCAAAACAGTGGAATCACCACCAAACTCTGCCCAGATTCTCAATATGTAAAATCATAAGAAAAAACAAAAATGGT